TCATGGATGGATTTAGTGGATACAATCAGATCAAGATGGCTGAAGAGGACGCAGAAAAGACTACTTTTAGAACACCTCTGGGAAACTTCTTCTATACAGTCATGCCTTTCGGACTCAAGAATGTCGGAGTAACTTACCAAAGGGCTATGACTGCAATCTTTCATGACATGATCCATCATGAGGTGGAAGATTATATTGATGATCTAGTGGTGAAATCCAAGAAAGAAGATGACCATCTCCAAGACCTTGAGAAAGTATTCAAGAGGTGCCAGAAATTCAAAATGAGGATGAATCCTCTCAAATGTGCTTTCGGGGTGACGGCTGGAAAGTTTCTCGGGTTTCTTGTACATAGGCATGGTATCGAGGCAGATGAAGACAAGGTCAAATCTATCAGAGCAATGCCTTCCCCGCATTCTCAGAAGTAGGGGTGAGCAGCGAATATACCGATCCGCCAAAACCGACCGAACCGAACCGATCCGCCGCATTTTGGATGGATGCGTAATGTCGAACGGATGGTTGCGGATTGATTTTCTCTAATCCGCCAATTTGGCGGATGGATGGCGGATTTGAGGTTTCTTTGGCCGCAACCGAACCGCCAAACTGCGAGTATCCTTAGTAATTTATAAGACTTTGTGTTTTCAATTTGTTTAAATATTTCGTTTGTGTTTTCAATTGAAAAAGAGTTCAAATATTCTGTTGAAAAAAAGTTTTCAACTTGAATATATTTTTTGAATTGAAAAAAATAAACATATTATTTATTTATATTTTTTGGTTTTTAAATCTAACTCTAAAAGTAATAAATAGAAAATATAATATATGCTGGTTGGATTTTGTTTTCAAAAATATATATAAATGTAACAATACAGAGACATACAATCTTTACTATTGTTTTGTTCATGGTTTTGGTGGTTTGCATTGTTTTTATATTTTAAGAACCACAGATTGCAATATTTTATGTGAATGAGGCATACTGTGATTGTAATATATGGATGAGGCATGCAGTGATTTTGATATTATAAAGTTTCAAACTTTCTTTCTTTGGATGAGACATGCAGTAATTGTAATACTTTTTTAAGTCATTAACTGTAATACTTTCTTTTTTTTTTTTTTTGAGGAAGTGCACAAGTTGAATTATGTTGAAAACTTATAAAATTTCAAACCGCCAAACCGATTCGCATCCATCCGCCAAACCGCCAAACTGCTCAATCCACATCTGCCGGATTGGCGGACGGATGCGGATTGATTTTCTCCAATCCACCAATCTGGCGGACGGATGGCCGATTGGAGGTTTCATGGCCGCAACCGACCCGTGCCCACCCCTACTCAGAAGGAGTTAAAGAAGTTCCTTGGGAAGGTGTCTTATATTCAGAGGTTTATCCTAGCACTTGCAGAGATCTCTGCCCCTTTCGGCTCATTATTAAAAGGAGATGCCAAGTTCGAGTAGAACCAAGAGCACCAAAAGGCCTTCGAGAGAATCAAGGCGGCCTTGACCTCGCCTCAAACCATGATAGCCTCGCAGCCCGGGGTGCCTCTAATGTTGTACCTAACTTCAACCCCCAAGTCCATAGGGGCATTATTGGTCCAAGATGTAGATAGAGCAGAACGCCCAGTGTATTACATTAGCCGAAAGATTCGAGAAGCAGAAGTCTGATATACTCCGGTGGAGAGACATTGTTTAGCTTTGATATTCATCACCCAAAAGCTCAAACATTGCTTCTTAGCACATCAGATTCAGATTGTTACTAGAAGTGATCCAATTCGAAACCTCCTCAGCAAGGCTGCTCTAACCGGGAAGGTGCCAAGATGGTTGTTAGCACTGGGTGAATTCGAGATCACATGTGTAGCTCCTAAGGCAATCAAAAGTCAAGCCTTAGCCGATCTCGTTGCCTAATTTCCAAGTGGTGACTATGAACCAGTGAATGAAGAATTAAGAGGAGAGGTGCATGCAGCTATGGCTTCCGAGGAAAGCTTTTGGACATTGAGCTTTAACGGAGCAGCAGCCGGAGGGAAAGGAGGAATCGGTATAGTCCTTACAAGCAAAAGTGGGAAAAAGTTATATTTGTCTTATAAACTAGATTTCCATTGTTCGAATAATGAAGCCGAGTATGAGGCTCTTATTTTAGGTTTGATAGCAGCTGAGAAGCACAGTATTAAGAAGATTCGGATTCGGGGGGATTCAAAGCTAATAGTGAAGCAAGTTTCAGGACAGTTCGTCTTAAAGGAGCCTGCCTTGGCCACATATTGAACAACAGTCCAAAGGCTTCTTGACAAATTTCAGAAGGTCCGACAACAAGTTTTCAGATGCCCTCGCAACATTAGGGGCAAGAGTTGATATTCCAGAGGGGGAGGCGACAATTATTATCAAGAAGAGAACAGTGCCTTCAATAATACCCGAAGACAAAGACCTTTTGGAGGACTAGAGAGGAGAAGTCCTCGAACAACTCAGAAACAAAGTTGGAAAATTGACTATGGCCAAGCTTGCCCAATTCATAATTATTCAAGGTGAACTTTACTTCCGAGGAGGTACCGGATTCCTAGCCCGGTGTGTTGGCCAACAAGAAGCAAGTTTTCAACTACAACTAGGGATGGCAATTTGAAACCGGCCTGATGGGGACCCGACCCCCCGACCCCGAATTGAGCAGGTTTTCTCCGAAAAATACCCCCGACGGGACGGGGATGGTATTTAAAAATTAATCCCGGAACAGATTTGGGCCGGAGACGAGGATCAGTGTCCTTGCCCCGTACCCGGCCCGGCCCCGTCCCCGATCCCCGGCCCGGTTTATCCCCGATGTTAAATTACAATTTTACCCTTATATACATATATATAAGCCACTGACTTCACTTTCTAAATAAATACATATATATATATATATATAAAGCACTGACTTCAATTCACCCTTAGATTATTCAATTCACCTTCACTTTCTCAGTTAGTTTATTTTGAAACCATCGTATCTCGGTCAGACTCTCTGTAATATATAGATCTGTCTCCTTTCCACTCCAGTATTATTCAATTCACCCTCAGATCTCATCTCTCTCACACTCTCGCACATCTCCTCCTCCTTAGCGATGCCACCACGCCACTGTCCAAGACGCCGGAGTCACCGTATAGCTCGCACCGCTGCTTCACTCTCGCATCTCTCTTCTACCTCTGTCCACGTCGCACTGCCGATCCACGTCCGTCTCCTCCATCGTCCATCATCGCCGCTGATCTCCTTCTTCGTTCGTCAGTCACCAAACCAGATCTGAGATCTGTCGTCCTCTCTCTCTCTATGTGACACAGATTTGAGATCTGTTGTATCAGATTTTGTTAGCTGAGATCTCAATGTTGTTGATGATTTTGATAATCTCATAAATCTGATAATGTTGTTGATGATTTTGATAATCTCATAAATCTGATAATGTTGTTAATGATTTTGATGATTTCTTCGTTTAATCTCATGCTCTCTTTAAAAATTGTTGATGATTTTGTTAGCTGATGATCTATGTTAATGTTGATTTTGTTTTTGTTCATTTTTTTTTTTTTTGGCTGGGGAAATATCGGGGTCGGGGAAACCTGATCCCCATTAGGGGACGGGGATGGGGACGGTAATAACTTCCCCGTCAGGGATCGGGGCCGGGGACGGGGGGTTTTTGCCATCGGGGATTAGGGACGGGGAGTGCGATCCCCGGCCCCGCCCCACCCCGCCCCGTTGCCATTTCTAACTACAACAAATCCATGAAAAGTCCTGCGGGGATGGGGATATCAGTCTCTACAGAAGGATCTAAAGACAAGGCTATTATTGGCCCGAGATGGAGAAGGCCTCGAATCAACTACAAAAAGAATTCCCCAAGTGTCAGTCATAAATCCGGGAGGATGAGGGTTGCTTTGAAATTGATACCCCTGACTGGAGGCAAGTCTACATTGACTATCTCAAGGAGGGGACACTACCTGAGAGCTCGAGGGACATTGCATACCTCAAGAGGAGAGCGAGGCGGTATTTTCTTGATCATAATAAGCTTTACAGAAGAAGCATTGCGGGCACTCCCCTGAGGTGTCTCTCCAAGGAGGAGTCAGATCTAGTCCTCGAGAGAGCCCACGAAATTGAGCATCAAGGAGGGGCTCGGCTGTTTGAGCAACTTATACACCTTGGGTATTATTGGCCAACCATGGAGTCAAATGCGTCCCATCACGTAAAGAAGTGCCAGACTTGTCAGAAACACGGAAATTTGATCCATGCTCCAGCTGTAGACCTGTATAGTATCCGAACGCTATGGTCGTTCCATACTTGGGCTTTTGATGTGATAGGGCCCATCTCCACACCTTCTAAGGAGTACAAGTGGATTCTCGTAGCTACAGAATTGAGTACAAAGTGGGTCGAAGCAATCCTTCTGAAAAATGCTACGGGGCCCGTAGTCGCGAACTTCACCAAGGAAAATATCATTTGCCGGTTTGGAGTGCCGAATACCATCATCTCGGACAATGGCACTGCCTTCATAAACAAATATGTAAAGAGCCTCCTAGAGACTTACCAAGTGAAGCATCACAAATCCACACCTTACTATCCAAAAGGGAACGGGCAAGCGGAGGCCACAAACAAGACACTGATAAGGATTCTAAGCAAGATGATGGATGAATTTGGGGTGACTTGGTCCGAACAGTTGATAGTAGCCCTATGGGCGTATCGCACTTCAAAGAGAAAGCCGACTCATGCAACTCCTTACTCTCTTGTGTATGGGTCCGAGGCAGTGTTACCTATAGAGTTGGAAACACCATCTGCTCGAATGGCTCTCGCCTCGGGGATGGTATTGGAGCCTCGAACCAATACCTCAAGAGGAGAGCGAGGCGGTATTTTCTTGATCATAATAAGCTTTACAGAAGAAGCATTGCGGGCACTCCCCTGAGGTGTCTCTTCAAGGAGGAGTCAGATCTAGTCCTCAAGAGAGCCCACGAAATTGAGCATCAAGGAGGGGCTCGGCTGTTTGAGCAACTTATACACCTTGGGTATTATTGGCCAACCATGGAGTCAGATGCGTCCCATCACGTAAAGAAGTGCCAGACTTGTCAGAAACACGGAAATTTGATCCATGCTCCAGCTGTAGACCTGCATAGTATCCGAACGCTATGGCCATTCCATACCTGGGCTTTTAATGTGATAGGGCCCATCTCCACACCTTCTAAGGGGTACAAGTGGATTCTCGTAGCTACAGAATTGAGCACAAAGTGGGTCGAAGCAATCCTTTTGAAAAATGCTACGGCGCCCGTAGTCGCGAACTTCACCAAGGAAAATATCATTTGCCGGTTTGGAGTGCCGAATACCATCATCTCGAACAATGGCACTGCCTTCATAAACAAATATGTAAAGAGCCTCCTAGAGACTTACCAAGTGAAGCATCACAAATCCACACCTTACTATCCAAAAGGGAACGGGCAAGCGGAGGCCACAAACAAGACACTGATAAGGATTCTGAGCAAGATGATGGATGAATTTTGGGGGACTTGGTCCGAACAGTTGATAGTAGCCCTATGGGCGTATCGCACTTCAAAGAGAAAGCCGACTCAAGCAACTTCTTACTCCCTTGTGTATGGGTCTGAGGCAGTGTTACCTATAGAGTTGGAAACACCATCTGCTCGGATGGCTCTCGCCTCGGGGATGGTACTGAAGCCTTGAACCACCAGATTGGAAGCATTAGAGGAAAAGCATGACAGAGCTGCAAAAGTCATGGAAAGGTATCATGAGTCCATCGCCGGAGCCTATAATCAGACTGTGGTGCCAAGAAAGTTCAAAGAAGGTGATCTAGTATGGAAGATTGTAGACCCAATCATGCGAGGACAACCCTTGCCCAAGTTTTATTCAAAATAGGAAGGGCCCTATAGGGTGGTTCAAGAAAGCTCAAGCGGGTACTACAGGCTTGTAAGGGTTGAAGATGGCTTCCGAACTGACCCGCTCAATGCAAAGTTTATCAAGCGTTACTACCCGTAGATAGACTCATCTATGTTGAAATTCATTTTCATTTTCTTACTTTGTCTAAAAGTTGTATTTCCCTTACGTATGAAGAAGCTGGTTTTCTTTATGGTGTATGTTTATCCCATCACTTGCAGTGAATTTATTATACTTTTGTCAAGAAAGTTGAAGAATTAATGAGAATATTTCAACTTTTATAAACATGTGCATATGATTGTTCTTTCCATTGTATCATTCGAAATAAATATCTTATCAAGTAGAATGAGAAAACAATGCGAAAATCTCCAAACAACAAAGATTTTGTCATTTCATTGCATTGTCTTAGATAAAACATTTTTTATCGAAAGGGGCAAGAAAGTAATACAAAAAAAAAAAACTCAATCTCTCCTAAAAACACCCTCGAAGAAGCTGCCCGTCACATCTACATCCGGAGGACAAACAGCAAAGTGTGCCTCCAAAGTCTCCAAGGCCTGAGCATAGCCCGACTCAAGTTTACGAAGAGTTGCCTTTGTCTCATCTATAGAGATCCGATAAGAGGCAAGCACAGACAAAATTTCCACCCGATGACTAGCATTCGAAGCTATATCCAGACGCTTCCGAAGCCATGATAAATCCACTTGGTGACGCTCCATGTCAGAGATCCCCTGATACGCTGTCTCAACTACTTTTCCATTAAGGTCACACAGCCGTTGCCTATCCAAGCTATATAAGATAGTGGCAAAAGACTCGAGAAAAGCAGTCTGAATGAGTGGACATTGCAAGCAAATGAAGCAAAGGTCTCAGAGTAACTCGAATGCACAAGCTGTAGAACTTAAGCAAACTCAGGAGCTACCCAATAATGGAGAAATGATACTTTGCCAAAAGCCGAAGGAGGAATTGGTGCCGGAAAGCTACTAGTCTCAAGAATCTCCCCAATGTTTATTGGGTTAAATGAACCACCTGGAGGGGTAACTTCCGGCAAAGGTCCCGAGCCTAAGAATGCGGAGCGATAAGGGGAAAGACCAAAAGCATTACTATCAAAGTGGAAATCACTGAGATTCAGATCCAAACATTCGAAGGCACTTGCGATGAAGAACCTCTAGCAGTCATCTCAAAGGCAGGTGTCTCCTATTGAGAAGGAGAACCATGATGAGTCACAAAAAGAGTCGGAGCAGAGTCTGAGGCAGGTAAAGACAGGACCCCGGTAGTAGCTAACACTGAAGAAAAGATAAGGAAGTCTTATTAGGGGTAGGGGACAGTAAAGCCATTTGAGTAAAGATTTCTCACAGATAGAAATACATGACAAACTTCAGAAAGAAAGATTACTAGAGGGAGAATCATTATGCAAAACCGGAGCAACTGAAGGTCTCCTAGAATCAACAAAGTCACTTGGCCGTACAAGGAACACCTGATTGATCTCAATGTCTAATGAAGCCTGAACAATAGTAGTCATCCCTGAAGAAGGAAGGAAGGCCGGAGGATGAGAATCACCATAAGTGCCAGAACGAGTCTCAGAGATTTCTAGCACATCCACCTCCACACCATTCCCAGAGGCGCACCTCATCTCTACATTGCTTTTAGAAGCATGGCCTGCGGCATCAATTTCTGTGGCATCAGTCCCTTCAGCAATCTTAACATCAGAATGGTGTCGTCACCAAGATAGCGCTCATCCTCTGTTACGATAGGGCGGTGACGATGCATGCGTGGGATAAGGTCACAAAAATGATCGGAGGACTCAGCATTATCATCATCATCATCTATAATTGCTACACGAGGGGTGCGCATCTTCACAAGTCTTGCAGACAAAAGGGGGTGTCGTCCAAGTCTGAGTCCGACCTAGTGGAGGCAGCATGGCCAGTAGCCACGATACTGAGAACGTCAACAACCGCAGGGTCCCACACAACAGGGGAAAATAAAAAGTGTTCATTTAAGAATGTATAGTCGCAAGAAGGAAAGTAACTTCAAATAAAATAAAAAAAATTCGGGTACCTGATGGAGCCTTTTGGAAAGGTGAGGAGTGGAAGGACTGGCATCAGAAGCCCTCTTGTGAGCCATCTTCTTAAGGCGGGTCGTCCGAGGACTGGAGGCCTTATTCAAAGGGACTGGCTCTAGAGAACCAATTGCCAAGCTAGAAGCAGACGCCCAAGCCGGAGGGTCAGTTGGAGCAGATGAAGTGAAGAAACTCTCATACATGTGATCAGATTTCCGGCTCTTAGGCAGCCGAAGAGAAGAGTCCTTTATATAGATTGGCGGAGGCAAACATATGGTCGGTCTGCTCTAGACAAATTCAATAAATGCATCGATATTATTCCGCCAATATCACTTGAAAGAGGGAGTGAAACCCCCTACTCGGCTCAAGCCTCGCATCGTCAAAGAGCCGGATATAAGAAGCATGGTGTGTACGAGTCCGCGAGTAAAGTGCCCCTAGCTCTCCGAGAAAGATAATGAAGGAGGTGCTGGCCCCGGGGCACACTAGTTAAACCCGAATTGGCATGCCACTCTGTCAGGTCTGTAGACAGCGCTATCAACGCCCTCCTCATGCCATACCGGTAATGAACTCGGATGAATCATTATCAGCATATCAACAAGGTATGCAAAGATACCCTTCGGCAAAGGAAAGGACACTAGGCGAGAGGAACCATGATAGATAAGCAGTGTTGCCACACCCACCGGTGGGCATACATAAGGAAGTGCCACAAAGCGCCGGGGATCATCCACCAAAGTATTCAAGGATAAGGTGGAAATGGCACATGACCAACGTGTGATCAATGGCTGGCAAGACTTCGCTTTCTCAAATGTGTGAGACCCGTCAGTACCGAGCACGGGGATGCCATCTTTATCCACTATCTCTCGAAGAACCTCTGCCTCGAATACAGTCAGAGTAGTGGCAAACTTTGGGAACCTCTCGAAGAAAAAACAAAGCAGGAACTAGCTGTGGATGAAGGATACAGGCTCATATCGACCCACGGAACGAACCATGTCTCGATGTAGTAGATCCAGCCAGTAATAAAGATTCCCAAGAAATAGCGGAGCCAAAGGAATCCGATCCCCTCTGAAGAGCCTAACTGCCAAGGGGAAGACAAAAGGATTGAGAGAATCCGGAGGTGTGCTCAGAAGAATGAAGAATGAAAGGAAGCAAGCCAGAAATCCCAAAAATAGAGCCTAGAGCCATACATTGGGCCGGCCTCATACTCCCGAGAATCAAGATCAGCATCTCTAGCCAAGGGCTGAAGATCCTTGAAGAAGTGGCGGATTCATGCGGTATAGGAGGCACGGTCCGTCCTTACTCGATTGGTCCTCCTCGATGAACCATCAAATATAGAACTCCACTGGCCACAAGCTTAAAGATTTGGCTTTAAAGATTGGATCAAAGAATCATCCTCAGGGGGTGTCTGCTCTGGGTAGAAGACATCAGGGCCGGTCACTTCTAGACGTAGCAACATGAACACATCCTCGAGGGTGGGCCCCATCTCATGCTGGCCAAGTATGAAAGTGTGTGTTTCGGTGCTCCACCGAAGAGCCATGGCTTCAAGGCTAGTATTGTTGCGGAGAATAGATGGGGATCGAGATATTTTCACTGGGATTAATAGCCGGGCCTCCTGAAGCCGCCGACAGAGGCCCCTGTCTGAGAGGACATCATCGACCCACTCCTGCCAACCAAAAGGAGGGTTTGAGAAGGCCTTGAACTGAGGATAGCAATATGGAAAGTCCTTTCGCTCAATCCTAAAGTGTAGCACCGAAGAAAGAGAAATGTGGGCCTCATGTCCGGAGTCAGTGTCCTCAGTGAGACATAATGAAGCCCCCTTCGGAGATAAAAGAGAAGTGGTGGAGGTAGCCGCTCTCTAGAACGGGTCCTTCCGACCAAAATAAGGAGATTTCCTCTATTCGGACGCCAGAGGTACATCCCCCTCTTTCATGAGAGCCGGTTCTGATGACACCGGGACAACAGATTTCTTTCGAGAAAACATATGGCTGAAATAACAAGTATAAATAGCAAGGAGTCGACCGTATTAAAATTCAGAATATTGGAATTGAACACATTCAAATGAAATTTCGGCATCAACTATTTGTTTCACAGAGAATCCATGAATTCAACAAATTCTACAAAGAATTTTCATATCAAGAATTCAGACACGATGTCTACTATTTTAAGGGTCGCAACAATCAGTCATTTTATAATAAAATTTTCATGCAACATTATGGGTTTATCAACAAATTCAACCTCGGACGTCATCAACAATTCATTTTCTTGGGTGTTCTTCAAGCTCAACAAATTGCAATACCAATGTGTGTATCATTAACATATAGACTTCAAGTTTCTATCATCAATAAGAAGTGTAATGTCATAGGCCGTTTTGTGATGAAATTCAAGCAGGTCATTTTCTCAAAATTACTATGATTCATATTAAAGATCCAATTTATACGGGGCTCAAAATTTGGTTAGAGTGAAGTTCAGTAGCAAATGTCAGGCCCAAGATCCGAAGTATTTTACATTTTCTCATCTGTAGCAAGATTCAATGGTCTGTCATGCAAATTACAAGAATGTTCCTCCCAAGTCCATGTTCATGAGTTCAGAATGTTCCTCCTAAGTCAATGTTGATAACCCAGAATTTCTTTAGCAAATAAAAAAAATTAATCACTCTCAAGCACTACAAATGTCAATATCAGTGGGAGTCACAACATCAAGCAAATTCTAGCTCTACAGTGCAATTTTAAGTTACAAATAT